AAATGGAGTCTGAATTATCAGAGATAGTATCTTATGCAGACTTTAATTGTCCTTTGATTGGATCTCTCTTGTCAGATTTTGTTGGCTTTTTGGAAACGATGCAACTTTTCGCCCTAATCGCCTCTGGCAAATAAGCACCACTGCTGCATTTTCCTATGCTATATAATCGTTTGCGATTATACTCATCACGGAGAGACCTTATTTTGACGTGATGTGATAGTTTGCGTGCCTCCATAACCCAGCGAGGTTCTCATAGCCGCAGATCTAATCGTGTCAGAAAAATCAGTGCATACGTTCTGTCGTACTGGGCCTGCTCATTAGGCACCTACCTTCGAACAGATGGGATTGTTCGCTGTAAAAAGAAATACAAGCTTTTCTGCTGGTGTAATAGGAGTAACCAGCTTGATTGAATTGCTATCTTAAATCATTATTTACTGCAGTGGCCCGCGCTCTAGTGAGTCAAGTGCGGCTGGAAGTTCAATGAAGCATGCGGCAGTGGTGTGCTGGAACTTTTGGCGGTGTTTCAGAGTTCTCCAAAGGATGAAAAATCGGTCATTGCATCTTATGCCGGGGCGATAAACTCCTTGATTTGGACGAGTGCATGCGTGACTCGTTGTGGTACGAAATGATTTCACACGAGCTGGATGAAAGCTTGCACAGATGTGTCCAGCACACCGGTACCCCAATGGTTCACACATGTCGTCCTGTCACCCTTTCTGGGTGATCTGATCTAAGGGACATCTTTCGCTGCCGCAATTAGAGCCGATTAAGGCATAAAGTGGCTTGGCGATCACCAGGAGACATTTCTTGAAAGTTTCGGCTGGGATTCCTTCTCCATTCTGGATTTTGCCAAACTTCAGTCGGTCGATACCAATGGATATCTCCTCCAAGAATGACAATCACAATTGATATCGTTCGCGCATGCCGAATGAATATCCACAAATCGGTCTGATGGACGACCGAGGGACCCACCAGTTATCTAGTTATCTTACCATCGATTTCGAAGTGAGTGCGTCGGAAGTGTGCAGGATGAGTCGAGTGGACTGTCTTTTACCGGTTGAAACAGGTTTCCGAAGTGGAATGCGCTGACTGTGGTAGCTATTTCACTCTAGTAGTTGCGGTGTTCACTCCTTGTATAGTAGATTGCTTCGCGTTTGAGGTGCTGGTATTCAGAACAGCCATCTAAACGGGCATCTTTGGATAAGGCTAAAAGCCGAATGGTATCTTGAGATATCTGGTCTTTGCAGCGGCGATTTGTTTTGTCTGATTTGTTCAGAGCCTTGAACCTGTGCCACTACTTATTGACCGAATGTGCTATATTCATTCGTTGGGTCGGTGTATCATTTGCTAATCGTATTTCAATCTCCTTCATCAGTACTTGCGATTTCTCATTGCACTCCAGGCGACCTATGTCGATGCGATTCGAAGGGTTCATGTTTAAGCGGATCTTGAAACAAAATCCAGTGTCGCCGGATCAGCGCTTAGTCAATTTGGCGCGGTGTTCTGCCTTCATTAAGGTACCATATGAGAGGATCTTTTCTCGGATGCTATCGTCATTTCAATAACAGCTGTCGCCTGTACGAGCGTTCCAATCGTCCGCTATGATAATTGTTTCCCTTTGGGGTATGCTATTCACCACTATTTGAAGTCCATCGTAAAGCTCATTCAACAACACCAGAACAAGACATTGTCACTTCCTATATGTTCTAACCGATTGCTGTATGTCGAAAAAGGAAATGTCTGCTGTAATTGTATATCTACTGATTCAGATGGTTAGCTCGACAGACATTGTATTCGTCGGTGGCGATTTCAACGCGCGAGTCGGATTTCTAGATGTATCAGAAAGATTCCTAAGCGGTCCCATCCAAACCAACGCCTTGAACTGTGTGCAGACAACGGATTGTTGGTATCAAGCACGATCTTATTTCACAAAACCTCCGTATTCATCTAGGCTCGGAAATCAAATCGATTCCGTAGCCATTGAATAACGCTAATGAAAATTTTTCGAGATTTGTATTCCTACTGGTCGATGACTGTAGGCAGAGATCAGGCTCTGGAATGATCTAGGTTTACTGTACTCCTGATAACCAGCGGTAACAAAGTGGCCGGTAACAGACACCAACAACTGCGACTTGGTTTTAGAAACGGATTTCTTTCATCGCCTCTCGATTCAGACACGCACAAAGGAACTCGGTGTCTATTGGAAGCTGCGTAAAGAAGCGATTCAAACTTGTGCGTAAGTAACGATAGATTCTGGCCCATAGCCAAAGCATAGATAATGAATTTCCCGTTTTATGCTTGCAGGATCAATCTTCTGGATGTGAAAAATATAACTGTGTAAATCCGTTCAAAGCCAGCTCATCTAGATCCTGTGAACTGACCGCGAGAAACAGTAAGTGGCAATGAATAAGGATATACGGAAGCCCTCTCCCACTGGCATTAGTCTCAGTCTTTCCTATATGATAAGCGATTCGGGGCCAGAAAATTCAGATTCAAGTGTAGTGATGAAGGAATCCGACACTATCAGGATTAAAATTCAGCTTGGTACATTTGTTTTCAGCATACGTTTTGCACATTCAAAGACTAGAATGCTTTTTACAGGATTTAGTATAATCAACTTCCAATATCAACCTAACACGGTAGGTAACAGAGAAAGTTGACATGTTAAGCCAGTTAGGCAGCTGCTTCTCACACCCGACGGCCTCATTGTAGTTCAATTGTTGACACGCATTGAGAAGGCTCGGTGGATAGTCGCCAACAACGGATCGTCTATAGTGCCACTGTGACATTCGTTTGCCCACGAAGGGTCAATTATATGCTGCAGCTGTCCGGGCGGCCCTCCCGTGTAGTACAAATGTATGCGATTACGGAAACTTTATAAAAACAGATCATCGTTGATCAGAGCATCTCTGTCTACTCGAGTCCGATTGCGTAATCGGACAGGCGCAAATGCGGTTCCCTGGAGAGTTTTCGGTAATCGCGCACAGAATCCCCCACTCAGGAGACTTGGAAATTCTATTCGCTTTAGGCTTCTCAGTTGGGAACCTCGGGGTCAGTCCAATCACTGGGGCAAGGGATGTAAAGATGAGGTGTGAAAAGATGCATAGTAAAATTAATGCTGGTGCACAAAGGACTGGAATTGATTAGCCGGATGAAGGACGTGTTTTTCACTGCTCGAGGATTATGTAGCATGTGCATACACATTCTTCGATTCTGTCTTTAGTCGATACTCATCTCGTTTCTGACCTGTAGACAAACATGAACACTCAATAATTCAGGTTTAAATTAAACCTTGTTGCACTCCATTGTCTTTATAACTGACAAACATTTGGTCTGCGTTGTTCGTATCCTACCATTATTCTGTTTCACAACTTACAACTCTATAGCGTCATCAGCCATGCTTCGTCCGAGGCCACAGCAGCGTGGCAGACTAGTGGGATGTTTTCGGTTTTACTGGTTTTTCCTTTTCCCAAAAAGGGATTATAACGTGATAAGCAACAAAAAAGGTACTGTTAAAGTAATTCAATATGGTTTGACTCATCTTTTGTCGGTCCTCTTTCATTCTATCTCTTTTCTCGTGCTTGTGTGCAGCGTTTGACTGATCGCTATGAAGTAGTCAGCATTGATTACATCAATCGCCTTCTGGGAACCGAATTCTCCGGTGCCGAGGTGACAGATTTGCTTGGCCGCATGGGTTTGGAAACCAAACCACTGGATGGGGAACAGATCCCGGCGCCGGGTGACCTGTTGTGTAAGTTTTCAATCATTCCTTCCTAAATCCATATGATATTATTGAACACTTGATGAGCATGAGCATGTGTTTTATAGGCAATATTTTTCCAGATTTTCGTTCACACTACTTGCCAGTCGTGCCTTGTCGATGCTGTTAGCACGATTTGTTCCAATGTCTATTGGAAAACAGTGAACACAATAGAAAGGGTTTCAAGCTGAAACCAGCTTGCTTATGGTGCATTTATAGGAAAGGGTTTTGAAAGTTAAGAGGTAGATGGAAGGAGGAGAATGTTGCAAAGTTTTGCGTTTCGCGGAGGAAAAGAAATCAAAAGTTAGAATCACAACAGCTAGAGACAGCGGCTTGAAATAAATCACTAACCGCTTGTCAACAGGACTTGCGCGAAGAAGACTTCGATGAGTAGACAGTTCTAGACCGAATCGCGCTTCGAATAAAAAGAATGGTGTCAGAGCCGTAAAACGTCTGGTACAGAAGAGAGAGTCTGTCTTGTGTGGAGCGAGGCAAACCTGCGAATAATAAATGAATAAATGTAGAAGGAGCTATTTAAGCGGAGAAGAAAGGAAAAAAGATAATCGCAATAGGTAAGCTGAAGCTGTCGATCGGAGAAGGCGTGAGCCCTGACCAAGATTCACATTTATAAGCAGTAGATAAATATAAGGGGATTTCGTTGCCATCAAATGGAACACGATTGCTTTCCCTCCCAGACACAAAATTGGAGTGGTCGACTTGTCACGGTCCCTCTCCCTCCAGAGCTAACCTCACTTTTATGCGATAAGTTTATTGGGCCTGTGGCTTATGTGATGTTCAGGGACAAAAATAACTTTGCTTTGTGCCCGTAGATAGATGAATGCTGTTGCCCTAAACGATCAAGAAGTTATCAAGCGCAGCTTTGATCAAACTGTCTCAGGTTCAAAATGCATTCTCAATTTCCGTGAGTTGATTTGCTTGATTATTAGGGCAAGGTCTACGCTTACATGCCTAGTGCGCCTCCAAACAATAGATAGAACCCGAAAGACTCGTTGAGTGGGGATTATCTGTTTCTTTTTCGCCCACGTCTAGTGCAGGGTAAGTATAAGTTATGTTGCACACACGCGCATTCACAAGTCACCCGGTGACTTCTTTGTGCATTGCGAATGTGTTACCTTCAACAGCATGTGGATTGTTTCATTCCTCATCTTGGCACCATTCGCGTTCCATTACCATCGTCTCCTCACTGTGATTTACAGCGAGCGGTTCCGGTCTTCTGTCTGTGCGCATCCCGCCCACACGACACGACATTTTGCACGCCTGTGATATCGTTGAGGACGTGGCAATCGCCTATGGCTACGACAATATTCCCGAATCTATGCCCCACACGTATTGCATTGCTGAAAGCCAACCGCTGAACCGACTGACCGATTTGATTCGCACAGAGATTGCCCAAATGGGATTCACCGAGGCGTTGAGTTTCTCACTGGTCAGTTATGTGTGGGTAGTTTGATTTTTGTCCTCCGTCTGTCTTTCTGCTTTCTAGACGGAGATTATCGTTTCATTTACCGTCAGTGTTTCTTTTTCTTGTACATCACTGTACAATGATCAGCTGGAAGGGTGAAGGCCATAATGAAGCTATATTCGTTCTGCGCCGTCAAAGTGTAAATTAATTGTACACGCCCGAGTTCTTCCATCTCCCGGCATCACTCCAACTGGGGGAGGGATAGAGGAGGTAGACGAATTTTGTTACATAGGCAACTACATCTCACCCGGAGGACGCACTAAGGATGAAGTTTCGGCACACATACAGAGGGATCATTTGAAATTTACCAACTTGAGACGTCTCTGACACAGTCGCATCATCCGACTGTCTGTTTCTAGTCCAGTATATGGTGCCGCGGTTCGACTGGTGCTACCGTATGGTACGGAGACTTGACCTTTGCGCGAACAGAATGCAACAAACTGGTCATGTTCGAATACCGCTGTTTGCACAAGTCTGGTAGAATAACCCCGATAAACAGTACTGACATCATGCACAAAGTTTTACATAACGGTGGTTGTCCACCGGGGGAAGTGCCCGACTTCTATAGATTCCGTTGGCTGGGACATGTACTGCGCATTTTATTAAAGAGACTACCACGACGTGCAATACCTGACCTGACATTAGGGTATGAAAACCCCGAGCAATAGACTCGGTCAAGCAGGTCACGATAGAATCTCCGTTTGAGGACCTCGGGGTCTGTGTAACCGTTGGTTAATGATATGACTGAGTACTGTAAACAATGGCACTTGTGCATCCACTCAACCTATGTGCAACCTCAGTCTACCTGAATTCGCTATCTTCACATTGATGTTGATTCCAATTCCGCCCTCCACTCCATCTAAATGGGTAATCAAAAGACAGCAATCCGAACTGCCACACGCAAGTATAAGACAAATTTTTACGTGACCGCATTTAATCTGAACATCGCACTGCATGAATCTGGTAGGACAACTAGACACAGAATGTCCAGGTTGGGCGAAGAGTCGCAGGTAATCACGGTCACATCTGTATTGCATATACCTTGCCTCCCGAGTTTGCAAAAGTTTGTACACCTGGCTGAGTCCAGCTTGCGTGCTAAGCAAACCATGGTAGAACAATCTTTTTGGTGAGGAAATCAGTCCATGGTTGCTCCTTGACGAACTATTGGAGTTTGCACAGACTAAAACGAGTAGAGTTTCTTATGCAGTGCTGGACCTGCGATGTGTACAAACCACAGTCCATTGGGGACGGGTATACCCATGATCACTTCATACACCCTTTCGTCGGTCTCTTACGTCCACGATGCCCAACAGACTGTGGTGCCCAAGCAAGCTGTTGGGCACCGCCAGAACCAAGCAATTATGATATGGTTCATACGTCTCTTCGCGGTTGCCTTGGATTCAACGTTTCCAGTCAACTAACCTAGATGAACTGATAGTAATCCACCTACCAGGTTATAGCCACGGACGTTGGCTTTTCATGTTGTAACTTAGGAAACACCACCAAGTGAAGGCCGTTACTAGGGTACCCTTAGTAGGTGCGTTTTGGGATTTGCCGATTTGCCTTATAGAGGCTTTTTGGTAGCTGCAAGAGAAGGGTGACCAGTTACAACCCAAGATACCCATCTCCAATCATATTGAAGCGTTCGGAAGCTGGAGACTGTGTTCCCCATACAATTGATCGGGCTTCTTCCGCAGGTAGTAATTAAAGGAAAGTAGAGTCCACAATACTACCATCTATGTTCCCTAAGGTTCGCATTTCCCACGTTTTTGGTAATCCTGGGAGTTATTACAATCGCTTAGGATCCTCATTCTGACTTATGTTGATATTCCACTTTTGTTTATTCTCTGTTAAATTTGAAAAAATTCAATTACACTTCTATCGTCACAAGAGTCGTATAACTTATTTAAAGATCTTTCCACAGAGTTCTCTATGTATTGTATGCGTTTTTTTAATTTGATTTCCAGTGCTCTCGTGACGATATTTCAACAAAATTAC